ATTAAAATTGGCGCATCATATTTCATGGGATGGGGGAGGGAATACTTGCTACAGATATAAATATATGTGGCGAAGTAATAAATTTAGGTAATATACCGTATATGCCCTTTGTAAAACTAAAGTAATTACACAAGAAGTTTTTATGATAATTTATCTCGTTTCGTGTATTCACCATTTAATGCTTTTTTAGAGGGAGACACAAATTGTGTACATGATGTTGATAGGGACCGCTTTGGGAATGGTAATAAGAGACCACGTAGAGAATATGTTTTTGAGTCTCTTGATTATATGATAGAGGTATTTTAGTCAGCTGATTCCATTGAGTGGTTTAGAAATGCAAATCCCTCAATTACATGGCGTAACAACATGGTTCAAGCAAGATTAGATAGATTTTACTGTACTAAAATGAATGTAAAATTAGATTATAAATGTAGCCCCACAATATTTTCTGATCAAGATAATTACACAATTGAAGTTGAAGTAGAGATAACAATGAAAGATATAAGTAGAGGATTTTGAAAAAAACAATGTTAAAGTTTAGGAAAATAAGGATTTCATGATAGAACTGTGACATAAATGGAAGAACTAGAAAACTTTACAATGATTATTTGAATCCAAGACGTCATCGTCGATGAAGATAACAAATAAAATAAAAGTCTTTGTAGTTAATTCTCCGAAAAATGTCTAGAGCAGAGGAAGTGGGAACATTACAAAAACTTGAAGAAAAATTGAATAATGGAAAAAGAGTTTTGACTTTGTTAAATAAAAAGAAAAGTGGAATAATCGGGAAAACAAGAGCAAAACTTTTATCCAGAATACTGCAGGAAAAATGACAATTACAAAAAATGTACTAAATCTCTTTTCAAACAATTAAAAACCAAACATATGAAAATATTTGGAAAATTAAAAGACAAAAACGGCACAATTCAAAATAACCTAAATGAATATTGTTACAGACTTGTTATAAAGAACTGTATAGTAAAGCCGATCGCAGTGAGACATTAAAAACATATTTTTAAATAGGGTAACAACAACAGGGAGAAAAGTGAAACAAGAAGAAAATGAAATTTTACAGAAAAATATAGAAAGATAAAAAATGATTCAAACCATTAAAGAGGGAAAACTCCAGGTCCAGATGGTCTGGGAATATAATTCTACAAAAATGGTGGGAAATAATAAAAGTGGAGTTCACTATTGTAATAAAACAAATGTATGGAGAAGAGTACATACCTATAATGCCTCGAAAATGGGTTATATAACACAGATACACAAATAGAGAGCAGAAAATAAATTAAAAAAAAAACTATAGTTTATAGACCAGTGGTTTTTAAACTTTCTGAGCCCCCCCCCCCCTTTGAAAATTTTTACAAATTTCGCCCCCCCCCCCCTTTTGCTGGGCAGGTTGCTTTATATTAAGATGCGCTGTAAGACTGTTGGTCTCATAGCGCATCGGAGTACAACTTCGTCTTCCACTGGCGTACGTATGAAGCCATATACTCAAATAGTGGTCATCATACATTCTCCTTTTCCGCCTAGTTTGCAATACCTGGTAAAGTCAAACTGAGTTTTAAGTGAAACTAAACACGCAATAAAAGTATGCTTTTTGCGCTTTAATGTATTTTCTGCTTAAACGTTTACATTGGACACGCAAAATCAATTGTTTACACTGAGGAATTTAAAATTTATTTACTGTGTGTTAAAAATACACAACAATTACAGACTTCTTGGCTTGCCTAATGTTTCCAAAATTCACTACCAATCACAATTCACTACTAATCATCTGCGACGGGATGCTAAAGATAGAATAAAAACGTGAATCCGTAAACGGAAAACACCATGAGTTTTGTTTTGGAATGGACATCGACAGATCACAAAAACTTTCTTAGACATTGCAAATCATAAATTCCTTGTGCTTGCGGCACACCTGCAGTGTTCTAAAACTACCGATTTGAAAATAAATTTTACTCCGTGGGATTTTATCGCAGACTTAGGAATTTTTCTATATATATCCTAAAAATAATCGAGTAGCAACATTGCAATGGAGCGGAGTAAGAGTTGCAGTGACCGCTCATATTGGTCTAATTTGAAAGAATACGAATCGAAACAAAATGTGATTGGGCACTTTGCCACACATTTTTATGTCCGCAGATTGCCGTGGTATTTTGGAGTATTTGGTTCTTTCATTTTATCGACGCATTCGCAGATTAATTTATCACAATTTAATAAATAAATGTATATCGGTCATGGATTGAATATTTTATTCATCAGAAAAACCATTACATATCAATTGAAAAAATCGGCTCTTCTGACAGGTGGCGTAATCTCGACGACCGACTCACGAGCCGTACCGCGGGAATTTTGGGGCGATGAATATATATGTATTTTCATTGTACTAAATTAAATATACTTTCTAGGATTTTACACAATATCTTTCTAACGATGTTAATGAAATCGCTTGAGCGCAATATATAATATATCAAAACTAAATATAATCGGGCAGTTGTCTTGAAAATAAATGAATTAAAAAATAGAGACATATTGAATTCTTGTAGTTGTCATAGATTGAATATTACGAGACAGAAAAATTTATTATACCGTGGAAAAGCGGGCATTTTTTACCGAACGCGAAGATCATTTCAGAAGCAGTTGCACGGAAATTTCTGATTCCATCTTGTGACCTCTCGCGCTCCCCAAGCGGGGGGGGGGGGGGGGGGGGGTAGGCGCCCCCCAGTTTAATAACCACGGTTATAGACCAATTAATTCAGACTACAAAATTACAACAAAAATTTTGGCAAGTAGGATCCAAAATTGACTACCTAATATTATATCAATATTAACTTCTAAAATTAAATTGGAAAGAGTAATTCGTCAAGGCGATTCATTTAGTATGTTCATTTTCATAATTGCAATAGAATCACTTCTAATATAAACACAGAAACTAATATTTGTGGAATTGTCGTACGGGGAAAATAATGAACTGAAAAGCTTTGGATTTGCTGATGACTGGACTCCGGAAACGATCCAGTGCTTGCAGAGTACATGGAGACAAATAAACTATCACCGGAATATAAGTCTGGTAAAGATGTTACAAGCACTATACGAGGATTAATATTTAAATCAGCTGGTATCAGCACCCGTTGGGCGTCGACACTGTGTTGGGGAAGAGTTTCAAATGTTTTTCAAGCAGTCCATGCTTCAACTTCTCAATCATTCCAACATATTTTACTAGTTGATATATTGACTCTGGACATTTCCCTTTTCAAGACAAGGAAATGAGTGATCGATGCTTTGGTCAATTGGCTGATCCCATCCTTTTAGAGAGAGTTGGCGCGGCGGTGTGGCTCAACGGGCTAAGCGTTAGGAATACGCTCGCCACCGCACCTCTAATTACTCTGCGTGGGTTCGCAGGTTCGAATCCCATGTAGGGATGGTTATGTGCGAGAGGATTGCTGGACTCCTCGCCGTCGTTGGGTGGTTCACGTAACCGCTGGTCGGTTACGGCTTCCTCCACCACCAAGTCCATGCTTCCGAAAACAAACAATACAGTAAAAACTAATCCCATACCCGACTTGGAATGGTAACCGGACGAGAGGCCGTGGTTCGCCATATGGATAAGCCGTCTTATCGGCTTTCCTCTCCCCCGGGATAAATATGTAAATCCTATCCTATCCTATCCTAGTTTATTTTATTTTGTCAAACCAAGAAAACAATATATACATAACCTTACGACATAACAAATAAACAGATGTTTTCGGTACATGACTGGGAGGCAACGATACGACCTTTGGAGGTCATCAGAGTCAGTTGCCAGACTTGCCACCAAATTCAATTAAATAAGCATAAAAAATAAATAACAGGTCCGGTGTCAATCTATTAATACCTCTCATGTTTGTTTACTATAGACAATATTTACATGTTTTTCCCACTTTTTATTATCAAAGCGAAACTATGGTATACGAATTCGCCACATATTGAATTTGAATTTCAAAAATATAAACTGATCATATAAACTTTTGACGCTGCTATCATACGATGTCGTGTGTTATTAAATTAATCTACGGATGTTTCCCAGTTTTTCCTACGCTTGACTAAAGTCGCAGATGCCATTCAGAGGCGCTAACAAAGAAAACTGTAACGCACAGTATTAGTCAATCCTCGGGACTGTCAGTGGTTCAGTGGTCAAATAAAGAAGTTGATCATGCTTCAAGAAAATGGATCCCAATTGTTCTTTCTCCCTTTGCCTATTTCGATCGTTACCGGTATAGCTAGTGTCTCGCGCAATATGCACTCCACTCCAACTTAACCCATCCCCGGCATGGGCTGGTAACTAAACGAGAGGCGGTGGTTCGCCATATGATTAAGCCGTCGTATCGGATTTCCCTTTCCCCGGGATAAATATGTAAATCTTATCCTAAAAATTAGTCCCAGAAAAGCTGCGATAGACTACAGCAGGGCTACTCAACTGGCGAGTGAAAGTGGTGACTCCTCTTCGGCCCATGGGCCGGGGTCACGGCCCATCAAATTGGGCCTAGGCCCATCAAGTTGTGTAAAGGAACTATTCACTTGGCTAACACAGACAGTCCCCAAACTCATAATAGAACTATAATGTAAAAAATCTGAACAAAATTTTGCCCTAACCCTAACCTGGTACACATACTACAGGAGTTTATTTTTTGGTTCCAATAGTGACAATTTTGTAGAAATTGAAAATTTTGGTAAGATAATTGAATTTTTCCTGACGGGGCCCAATTAGATGGGCCGTGGCCCCGGCCCGTGGGCCGTAGTGGAGTCACCACTCCTGTAGCAACTGGCGGACCGCGGTCCGAAATCCGGACCTTTCGATTATTGGATTTGGACCGCACCTAATTATTTATTTTGGATCATTAGCCCCACTTTTTGAATTTCCTATTATAAAATGACTTACATAGTTTTGAATATATACAAAAAGAACTATAACACCATAATAAACAATTTTAATTTGCTACTAATCATTAGTCGGTCGAGGAAGTGCTCGTTTAAGGATGCCGAAATATCATTTCTGGAAAGACCGGACCCAAATAATTTTGAAGTTTTGTTTGCGGACCTTCGATAAAAATAGTTGAGTAGCCCTGGACTACAGTATGCTGAAATTAGCCATCAGTACCGATACCGGTACCCGTTACCGTACCCGTTAACCATACCTGGTTGTATATTTTGATAGAAATGATGGTAGCCTATTAGTATTTATTCACAGGGTGGTCCAAACCCAGGCCCACATCTGGGCCCCTAAAGCCTATCATAATCGTTGTGACGAGAAAAGTAGCTTGCTCGATTTCGGGTGATCGTCTGCGCGTTTTGGACGACCATTCGCATACTTTGGTGGGCCTTATTACGCCACTGTAACGTCGAAAGGTAATTTTTCGGTAACGTAGTCAGGTGGGGGTTAGCATTGACATAAGCGAAAATTGTTGAGCCAGGCCAACTAGAAGTGCATGTGGTACGGTACTAAACTATACCGGACCTGCAGAACCCCTTTCAGTACCCGCAAAGAAATTATTAATACAGTAATAGGCCTATGCTATGCCTTTTAAGAAAGAATCATTCGTTTTCAAGTCCAGAAGTTAGTACCGGTACCGAGAAAATCCGCAGAAAATAATGGAAACAGTTTTTTTAGATTATGATAAAAGTTTAAAATTAGAACTTAAAGTTAAACTCAAAATGAGCCGAAATGATAGAAACGAAAAAGTTTGAATGAAAAGAGGATTGCTGGCAACATGGCAACAACAAATCCACCAGGTTAGTGAACTTGGCTATGATAATGAATGCTCAAAGCCTCAACTTCACGGTTCTACTTCCTATTTGCATAATTTATAACAATAGGTTGGTTCGACACGGGGGCCTTCTGTTTTTTTATGTCTATTAATTGCTGTACCTTCTTATATACAGACATAAATATCGACGAGGATGAGATTATAATAGATACAGATCCATACATAGAGGATGATGAGGAGGCTTGGTTAGATGCTCTTGAAAAAGGCGATTTGGACGATTATGGTGAACTCAAAAAGGACAAAGATCCTGGTTTGATGACAGCAAGACAACGTGCTCTCAAAGAACGAACAAGTGCACTGTCTTCAAAATCATTTGCTAATGCTACACTCCTCGGGAGAGGAACAGCCAAAGCTAGAGTGATGACTGAAGAAGCACAGAAATTGAAAGAGGAGAAAAATAAGCGACGGAAACTCCAAGCAGTAAAGAGAGCAGAGGAAAGTCAAAAACAGACAATTGAAAGATTAATTAAACAGCAAAGTGGTAGAATAACCAAAGACAGACAGAAGAAAACGAATATTAATAGTGATTTTAGTGCGGCTCCACCTCAACAGAAGTCGCAAGCCCGAGTTGTATCTAAAATTAAGTGTGTCAGTAAAGGAACTACCATATCCCTTTCCTTTTCTGAAGGTTCAACAAATCCATTTCTGTTGAAGTCCGCACAGCTGACCAATATTAGGCCACAAAGGTGTATCTGTGGTAAACCTAGAAAATATGCTTGCTCAAAAACAAAGGTTTCATTATGCAGTCTCCAGTGCTATAGAGAAAATAAAGCCCAAAAGGTCACATAAAAGTTTGCAATCTGATATTTGGTGCCAAGCGAAGTCGATCTGCTCACTTCTAGCACAGGGGTCGGGAACCTTTTTGGTCAAGAGAGCCCTAAAATATACATATTTTCAATTGCATTTCCGTGCGAGCCATATAACATTTCTTCACTTAATCAGGCCTGAAACGTTTACTCAAAAGTCAACACATTCCATGTCAATATACATTTAATGTGACTTCTGATGCTGCATGTTGTCGCTGCGGGCCTTGAACGGTTGCTCACATGCAGCCCAAGTTGAAATCTACGATAATCATCACCCTTTTTCGTTTAGGCATCTCCGTAGTGTTTTAAAACTCTATTGCTTTGTGATGTCACAATATATGTTCCAGAATTCCCATGTTTTGTCACAATGCCTGTCTGGTAATTCTCTTACATAACATAGACATGCACTGGGCCCGCGTTGTCAAACGTATTGGGAATTTTTTGCCAAATTTGGCCATAAAATAGTTTGAAGTCTAGTAACAATAGTAAGCTTAATCTTAGAATAATAGATTTTTCTGGGAGCCATATACCGTCACCAAAAGAGCCATATATGGCTCGCGAGCCATGGGTTCCCGACCCCTGTTCTAGCAGGTGGAACAACCTGACACATTCATAAACCAAAATTATGCACATATATATGTATTAGAAGATTTTAAGACAATTCAACATGGAATAGCTGTACTATTTATTTATAAACAGAAAAGTAGGTACGGCAAGGTGGGCATTGCACATTTCTTCCATAAGTTCAACGCAAGACTTAAGTGCTAACCTTTGCAAGACATGTTAAACAAAAAATAAGTATGTATAGGCGTTTGAACATTTACAAAGCTTGGTGAAAGTTCATTTCAAACATGTTCAAGGCTGAGTCGGAGTCTGTCTCTGTCCAGGTGGCACTGAAAATAGACGCTTCAATTATTATGTGCAATAATTAATACATACTGCTGGACATTGCAACAGTAACTTCAATGTGCATTGTCGTAACTGTTAAGTGGATGTTTTAGATAAAAAAAAAAATAATAAATTGGGCTGGTCTGAACAGTAACAACATGCTCTGCTTTTTACATGGAAACTGACCCAATTATCACGCTAACTATACCCAAGATAAGACTGGTAATCGTAGGAGGTTGAGGTAAACCATATGATTAAGAGGCCTTACTAGCATTCCTCTTTCCCAGGATAAAAATCCTATTCTACCAATTGATCCAGCGAATAGGTTTCTTTGTAAACACAAAAATCATAAATGGGCTGCCACTTTGAATGAGACGTTTTGCATCGAATTTTTTGAAAATAAACGAGATTTGAGAGTATAAATGCATTTTCATTATTTTTTAATGTACAACAAGAAATTAAACAAATCATGCAAAACCTGGGTTTCAATTATTAGACCAGACACCCTAATTGACACAGTCTGAAACTAGACTCCCACGGCTACATCTGGTTTAACCCAAATTTAGAATATGGAGTTGTCTCACACTGCAAATGAATACCGGGGCAGCAAATCACATAATAGAGTAACAATTAAAAGAGGTTGATACCAGCCATGAATGCTCCTCCGACTTGCGTGTGCTGCATTTCAGTCCCAGGTGGTACATACACCATCGCATAGCCACCATAATTCTGAAATTGGCAAGATTGTGTTTTTGTTAAATGAACCCACATAAGCAAGTCCAAATCTAATGATCAAGACCGTGACAATGAATTAATAAATGGTAAGATCACTGAAAACTTGAGCAGCGTTGGGATCAACGAATCTTGTATTGAGTTTTAATGACATCATAACAGAAGTTTAGTACTACACAATGGATAGATATTTGAGCTTTTGGTCTTTTCGCTATTTCCTTCCAATGCCACAACTGATCGAGAATTCTTGATCATTCATTTATGAAGGGTCTAAAATTTCTATTTGGTGTCTCGCAATCTATGATATAAGAAGTTCTGTGGTTCAAAAAGGTTGAAAATCACTACTTGATTGATGTGTATACTGGCTATACCAATCTGTTAATAGTTTTGTCACTCTCGGGAAAAATGTGACAGTTCATGAAATTTTCTCACCATTTCGCCGCAAAACTTTTCAAACTTACATAGGGTGAAGAACCAAAGCAGCAAACTTCTTTTTTCTGGCTCAAAATTTTTCCAAATGAAATTGAAAGGTAGATGCTGATTACCAGACAAGCAGTCAGTCCACCATTCAACGCTGTATATATAACAAATTTTCCTCCCTGTTTGATAAAAAATCAAGACCTGCTTTGTAATGTTTTATATTGAGTAAATGCAATGAAAAAGTATTGTTACATAAAACTTAAACTAAATTTATTACCAGATTAACTATTTAATGCATACAATAAATTGATTATCAATATTTGAGACCGATGAGAAATTTTAAGGTGTCACATGACATATCACATACCCCATACCAATGATGACCTGCAGCTCCAAAAAATGAAATCGCAGCAATTACAACTCCAATTGCATTCAAAACTGCCGAAGTTATGTTCAATACAAGACAGGATATCACCTGGAAATAAAATTTAGTAAGAACGTCCAATAATCATCATTGTGCTAAGTGTAAGGATTGCCATAAGTGAGTTCGAAATCAGGGTGGCAATACTCGATAATGAGCTAAACATTCATATAAAATTTGATAATCATTTTATACCAGAATAAAAAAAAATATGTATCATTCAGTAGGCCTGCAAGTGCCTTTAGCACAAAACCGTATTGTGGACATTTGGAATTGAAATAACACAAGCTTCAAAACATCAGTAAAAAATTAGTCCATGATGGCTGACATGATACATTATATATATAAATGAACAGTACTATCAGATACAGTTCCTATTTAATATTACAGGGACATAAATACTTACTACTCCTGAATACAAATGATATCGCGCAGTGATGCTCATTGCTCCACAGACAACTATCTGAAAATAGTTGAAATATTTTGCTTGAGAATCTAGTTTAATATATTACAAGGTAAAATATGTTCATAGACAAACAGGTATGCCTATATCTGTATATTTAATTTACGGCTGCCAATTCTTACATACCAAAATGAAACTTTGTATATATCAGCAAATCAAGATCTAAAAAAATTGTTATACCCTATGCCTCACTATTCCTAAATGCTGAAATGTCTCCGCTAGGCGGCCTATAACTTGATAAAATATAAACAGTTTAGACTACACACAGTTGATAACTCACCAATATACCACACCATATTCCTTCCGCAGAACTGTCTGCACCATAATCAGGCCAAGAAGCAGCAATAATTACTCCACCAATCAATATGACAACTCCAAGAACAAGCTGGGTTATCTGAAATTATGGCAGTAAGGGTTTCCTGAATGCTTCATTGACCACCCAATACAGAAATTCACAGATATTCATGCATGTCTGCATGTGGTACATAGGTAGAATTCACCCATATATATCCCTAATTCAGTTATTTGCGCAAACAGCGCATTTTCCAGTTTATACCAATTTCAAAGTTCATTTAAAGGACATTTAAATCGGGTTCCGGTTATAATCTTAAGATAGGATAAATATAACCCGGCCTTACCCCCAAGGGAAGAAATATTTTCATGATTTCTTGAGAATGCGTCTTCAGCATTTCTTCGAAAGAAGGCGATTCTTGATCAGGTACTAAAAGATTATCGTCATCCATTTTCCACGTTATACCGTATGAGTATGGGCTATGGGGTTATGTCAGTCAAATTTTTTTTTTTTTTTTTTTTATAGATAAAATAATAATATAAATCATTACATACAGATGAGACGGTATAAATTCCATAATAAATATTGAGCATTTGTATCCATATTGTAGCATATCCGTTGTAATTCCCATTTGTTGTCATCATCAATTATATGTTCCATGATGCCATTTACCATTATTTTAATTAATGCATGAAAAAGGAAATTTTAAGAATTAGTTCCAAACACTTCTAGTCATATTTATATATATTTACATAATAAATCAAGTTCTTCACAATAATTAGGTAAATTTCTCAGTCGTTCTATATTTCTCCTACACTTTATTGAATTTCTTATAGTATTGACTACATTATTCACTCTTGGCATTACATTTTCAAAAATCACTGCATTTCTTTGCAACCAAATTTTATATCTTGCAGTACATATCAATAAAATAATAGCATTTTTTTCTATATTGGTCAAATGTACATAATTATTGTGTCTTAAATCTAATAATATACATGTTTCATAATTTATTAAGTTGCCACTGTTAGTTATTTTCATGATAATAGAAAAAACATAATCATAGAATTGTTTCACAAATGAGCAATTCCAGAATAAATGTGTTATAAATTCAGCTTCTTTGTCACAAAATACACATACAGACATAGGTCATCCCAGCAATATATCTAATTCTTGACAATGTTTTAAGCGGTAAAATATTCCACAATAATTTGTAGTTAAAAGTTTTTACATAATTAGCGAGAATTTTATTATGAATATTCAAACATGCTGTTCGAATATCCCCATTGTTTAGAAATACAATTCTTTCACTTTTCAGATTAGCAACAATTTTATCATATAAAGTTCTATGATGCCCTTGCCTAACATCATTTATAGTGATATTATGCACTCTTATGAACTCTAGAATACATTTATAAGGGTCTTACTACTTACTGAATACAGCGCGAAACACCGCAAAACAGCGCGAAACAGAAGGAAACCAGCGCAAAACAGAGGGAAACAGCGCAAAACAGGAGACGCAGTCATTACCACCTCCTGCCACGAAAGAACCACGGCGCCTCTCGCCATGGTTTTATGGCGCTACCGGTATATTTACAAGGTTATGTACCGGATTATAGGTAATCATGCGAAATTTTATCTACCTTTTTGGTGCTCCAGAAGTAGCCTCCAGAAGAATTGTGCAGCAATATGTCGCACAACCTGAATCCGCTACACACACACACACACTATTTTCAGGTTGTGCGCCATCTTGGTGCACATGCTTCTGGAGGTCCCTTTTTACCTAACCCTAAAGCCAACTATATCCATATGGAAAATGTCCTAAATTATGGTACCCAAAATGTGTCACTAGCAGGGGCATACCTGCCATTACAGCATTACTGGCTACATACGTTGGTTTGTGTTTTTAATTTGATGCCGTGGTACTCCAACTTAAAACAAGGTGCCCCGAACTCGGGTCACACAAGTACTTCCGGTGGGCGTAGCATAACGAATTTTGCATATGCTATTCCTAACCCCCACCTGACTATGCCATCCAAAAATTGAGTCACTACGGCGTCACCATCACGTCATAGGGATTGCCAAAGTATAATTATGATCGCCCGAAATGACATCTGCGACGCCGATAACGAACTTGCTAAAGCCGGCGATCTCTCTCCTATAGTGATCGTTGTGACGAGAAAACGAGAGAAATTGCTTGCTCGATTTCGGCTGGTTGTCTGCGAGTTTTGGACGTAATTTTTCGGTGACGTAGTTAGGTGGGGGATAGGATTGACATATGCAAAAATTGTTGAGCCAGGTCAACTAGAAGTACATGTGGTACTAAACTATACCAGACCCCCCGAACTCATTGCAAAAAAATTTTCTGCTTCACACTGTTTCCCTCTGTTTTACGCTCTTTCCCCACTGTTTGCGGTGTTTCCCTCTGTTTTGCGGTGTTTCGCGCTGTATTCAGTAAGTAGTAAGACCGCATTTATAATGCTTATATGGTTGAATAGAATGATATTCACTATTATTTACAGGTAAATTATACCGAACACTTGGTTGTTGACAGTGATGAGCTTATGTCATAGAAAGTCTTGTTCTAGTACATCTTGTAAACTTACTTATTAACTTACGTCTTGTTACGCCATTACTTTTTTTACATTACAGCAGACAAATATTTAGTGTGGATGTTTCGCCGACCTCTGACCCCGTGAAATTTCATCCTATACCTTTCTAATAAACACATTCGCATTGAATTGGTTTAATACCAGATAATTTTTTCATATTTCATTGTAGTCTTTCGGCTCTATCTCAGGACAGACAAAAATTTGTGGTAGCGTCCACGTCATGTTATAAATATATATTACATTTTCACAAATTAGCTGCGTTCCGGTTGTTACGATTTTCCCAGCTCGACTACTTAGGGCCTCTAAAACTGGAAAAGGCGTGATCCGGCCCTGGACAGGTTATACTGAACTTTGGAATTATAGGAACCTTCATTGCCGCTGCTTCAGGATACTATTAAGTTCATAACATTATGAGTCTTATGACGTGGGAACATAGAAGAAACCTAAGTACAGCCGGTGTGTTAGTAAGAAGCTTAATTAACACTGTTCTGCTTAGAGTGGCTGAGTGTGGTGCAACTACCGTACCGATATCCCGGAATCAGTATTCAGGCATTTAGCCATTAGGAATATTGAAGTAACGGTGCACTACTACAATTTTAAATACTGGTTGCGTTTGCTGCGAATTTTTTCAATGATTCAAAATAGTTCATCATAACGACTATTGCATAGTCAATGTTTGTAGCAAATGTAGTTATTTTTTTACACTGAACCAGTAACAGCGCTTTAGGTGTCGCTGCTTGAAGACCTAATATGGTCCCTCGCGACTCCTGTCGCACAAATATCATTATTATTATATTTATTTATTGTACCAATTTTTTGTGCATTTGATGTTTTTGTGACGACGAATAAATGATTGATTGATTGATTGATTGGTATGTAAAAAAACACAAATCTCCGAATTACTGATAACTGACGTTTTTCAAGTATTAAACTCACAGAAAAATGCCATTTAATCGTTAAACGACTGACCGTTTTTAACAGTAATGATGTTAAAAGCCAGCTGTTCAACGTTTAGGTGGCATTTCATCGTTACTGAATTGAAGTTACGGTGAAATGCTCTTTAAAATATTTAATGATTGATTTTTTCAACAGTATCTTTGTTGGAAAAAAGCCAGTCGTTTAACGTTTAAATGGCATTTCACCGTTACTCTTTGAAGTTACTGTGAAATGCTATGTAAAATAAGTGATGACTGACCGTCTTTAACAGTAATACTGTTAAAAAAACAGTCGTTTAACGTTTAAATGGCATTTAACCGTTACACTTTAAAGTTACGGTGATTAAATACTAGTTAAAATATTTAATGACTGGCCGTTTTTAACAGTGATACTGTTAAAAATCGCTAGTCCTAAAACGTTTAAATAGCATTTCACCGTAACTTCAATACCATTAATACCCGATTTTACTGAAAGCATCAGTTTGGGTTAATACAGTGACTAACTCTATTTAGTTGTAGGCGTATAATAAATCAAGGATGCTGTAGTCAGCGCCGATTTAACCATTAAGCAAAAGTGAGTGCAGTACAATGTAACAAGAGTCATTAAGACGTTTTTTGATAAATTCAAGTTCACTGATGTAAAGCAATAGGTTAGGGTGGTCCAGACCCATCATCTAACCTAACGGCGCTATAATCACGACTCTTCTCGTCAACATAAACTTTACCATCTTGCGACTAACTTCCGTGTGTTATACTGGTCGAGAATGCCATTGAGATGATTCAATCGTACGTCGACAAAACATGATTGACGGCATTCGTAAATGTAGGCTGGAATCTCAATTGGTTATCAATAACCATTAGGTTTGGAGTCAATGTTTTTAAAATTTTAACTGGTCATTCGATATCGACATATCTGAGTTCCTTTTCATCAACTCATTCAATGTCGCCTGTATTTCCGTGCAAGGCAAAACGATGGTCTTGGCACGCTTGGTCTTTTTCAACGAATGTTCTGCCATATCCTGCATTTTATAATTCAACTCAGATAGGTGTATATACAAATTTCTTTTGCGTGGCTGAGAAGGCTGAAAAGTCAAAAATATAAGTCGCCCAGTGAGTGTAATCCCTTCCAAACTATTTTTAAGCCATGAAATGTAGCGTTGCCAACTGCCCTTTAATTCAGCGTATACTCCCAAAATTGAACTTATCTTATCTGCAACTTAATGAAGATGCAGCAAAGGACGCAGTTCGTACGTAATCTTTGGCATCACTTTTACAATAAAATGTTGAAGAAAAATACGTTATACGTACCAGAGCACTATTGCTTATTTCGGATCAGCATCATATTGTCACAATTGAGTAACTTATATACCTAACGAACACAATCAACTGCGCTAAACCAGACGTATCCGTGGATTCATCCAATTGCATAGCGTATTTTCCTCCTTTGATTCTATCAATCAGTTGGCACCTAATATCTTGACCCATTTCGCTGATACGTCGGCGAATGGTAAATACAGACATTGATATTTCTTTCATTTCCTTAGTTACCTTGTCTCCATTCATAATTTGACTAATTGCAATAGTTTTGATTAGTGTTTCTCCGATGGTGTGTGGTTTTTTATCTTTTGCGATTAAATATGCCACTTCATACAATGCCTTTTGAGATTTTTCTAAGATTGTGAGATACTTTGTCATTGTTTTCTTTTCGTCTAACAATTCCTTTCCTGAAACCAAGCTTTATAATTGTTTTGCTGTACTTCCGCTTATAAGGATGGTTTGAGTGATGTATTTCTATCCGATGAGGGTGAGGAGATGAGTCTTTTGTCGGGCGTTGATCCCCACTGATTGAAGGCGCAAAGATGTCTGAAGGTGCATGCGGTGTTCTGTTCTCACCTAATTTCTCCTTCGTATCTTCCGCTCGCGGCTTTTTTCGAGTATTCTTCAGTTTGTCAACATT